GTCTCCGTCCTCCGCCTCTGGCTCCTCCACCTGCTGCTCCTCTGCCTCCTCCACCTCACGTTCCTGACCTACGTCACCCACAGGCAGAGATGTTTAAAGTACTGGAGTAGAAGTACAAGTACTATGTAAAAAAAATTTACTTGAGTAAAAGTGGAAGTGTTCTTTCAACACCATACTTAAGTTGTAATTGTACTTAAGTATTGCAAGTAGAAGTATTTCAAAAATTGCTACTCAAGTATGGAAAGTACAAGTACAAGTAAAAGTACAAGTACTGTGTATATTAAAAAAAGGCAGTCAAAAATTTAATAGATATTGTTTATGTTATTTCAAACGTGTGAAAGGCCATACAGGTGTTTACAAAAAACAGAAAACTACATCTGCATTAGCATCAACAGCACTTCATCTACTATTATTTATTATTCCAGAGTCAGAATCCTGAGCTGAGTCTTTATGCTAGCATGTAGCATACAGCTAGCCAGCTAGGTTAGCTTTAGCTAATGTTATCATACAGCTAACCAGCTAGGTTAGCTTTAGCTAACATTAGCTGCTACGTCCTGAGTGAACAGGGAGAACTGAACTAGCGCTTATTTACTAGCTTATATTTCATTTTATTTTTTAAATTTACCTTGATATGCTTCTTCAGATTAGATGGGGAATTTTTGAAGGCTATAATTAACAATCTTTTAATAAGCTATGCTTGATCGTTCAAATTGCCAATGATGACCCAGGTTCACAAACCCTGACAGATCTATCTATCATTACGTTTACATATCAGTAACGAATAACGATTCAGCCCGTGAAAAATCGATCGGAGTAAAAGTATTGAAACAATCAAAAATATGTAGTGGAGTAAAAGTAAAAGTAGGGGAAAATATATATACTCCAATCAAGTACAGATACTGCATTTTGGTACTTAAGTACAGTACTTAACTCCTTGACTGCCAGCCATTTTCAGAACAGAGAGTCGCTCACTGTCAGAGTTTTTTTTAGCATTTTGAGAGATTTTTGCCACAGAATAGTTTGTGCTATGACTATGTAAACACCGAACACACCAAAAGAAAGAGTAGACTCTCTTCTTTCATCACGAAAAAAAAAATTGTTTCTACCTTATTCCGTTCTTCTTCGACGTGCGTCTCACCGGCGCCATTTCTCGCATAGCGAACCATTGCGTTTTTTTTTAATTTACCTACAGTCTATGCTAATCTCCCATCAAAAGTGGCACTGCCCCCTAGAGGGTCAATTTGTTACTACATACTCTGTCTAGAAGCCTGATATTTACGGACAAGCTTTAGCAGATCGTCCTCCAGCCACTCTCGTTGAAAAACATAAAAGACGTCTATAGACGTCTTTGGCAGCGAATGAGTTTAGTAGTTCTACTTCGTTACTGAACATCTCTGCCCACAGGGTCCGGGAACCCCCCCGGGAACGGGGCGCCTACCTCCTGGTCGTCGTCCTCCGGATCGTCATGGAGATCCTCGGCTCCGTGGGGCAGCTCTACATCTTTGGCTCGGCCTTCCCCAGGAGGGTCCTTTGCTACGAGGCCCCGTGCACGTCCGGGGTGGAGTGCTACGTCTCCAGGCCGACCGAGAAGACGCTGATGCTGAACTTCATGCTGGCGGCGGCCTCCTTCTCCCTCCTCCTGAGCCTGGTCGACCTGCTGGACTCTGTTAGGGGGATGGTGGTGAGCCGGAGGAGGAAGAGGGAGACCCTGATGGAGGAGATGAGCAAAGGGGAGCAGAGCAGCGTGGTCACGACCACGACCGGGACGGAAGACGCCGAGGTTCCTCTGATCAGCCCGAAAATAAATGCTCTCAAATCGGCTGATGAGGGGAGGAAAGTCCTGGTGGATGAGTCCTCAGAGAGTCCATCCGTGCAAAGTGAAAGCCGCAATCTGAGCCGGTTAAAGACTCCTCTGTCTCAGAGGAAAACGGCGAATGGGGACAAAAATTTGGGACGGTTTTCTCCGTTTGGGGAAAGCTCGAAACAGCCGTCCGACTGCAACCAGGACAAAAGAGCATGGGTATGAGGACAAAAAACTCCTTTCAATCAAGCCTGGATGGGATGTTGAACCAATATCTCATTGCATGAATAGATAACCGTGATCATTTGCAGGAAAACATTGAAAAAACTAATCTAAAATTATTATTTTTTTTATTTCTATGTGTCAGAGGGCGTGGATCTTAGGGGGGTCTCAGATGCGGAGATTGTTGAAAACAGGGTTTATTGAACAAAAAACGCACTCAAACGGAGTGGGTGTCGAGACAAAGTTCAAAACAAGGCTGCGACAAAACTATGAAGAAAGTATCAAATCAAGATTAACAAGGCTATGAACAAAGTATCAAAGTAAGAGTAAACAAGGCTATGGCAAAGGATCAAAATAAAGATTAACAAAACTGTGGCAAAGTATCAAAACAAGACTATGGCAAAAATACTAAATAAAGTTAACAAGACTATGGCATGGCTGTGACAGAAACAAGGCTATGGCACAAAAAACAAGACTGTGGCAAAAGTGCAAAAATCAAAACCTCACGTGGAAAGGAACAAAGGACATGAACACAAAGTGACGAAAAACTGAAAATGACGAAAAACTCAAAAACACACTGGCACAGGACATGGGAAACGAGGACTATTTAAACACATGAGGGAGGGGAACCCCAGGTGTACACAATAGGTAATCAACACATGACAACACACCAGACATTCCCCCAGACGTGACACTATGGTCTGAGGTGCATAATTCAAACATAAAATGGGAAAATGGTCATAAGTCCTCTAGTTAAGCCTAAAAAAGCAGCTAAAAGGAGAAAACAAAGTGTTTTTGTCTGCTCAGTCATCTGCTTTTAAATTAGTGTCGGCTAATATCCTCACATTCTAACACTAAAGGGGGTTTCGGCTTCTTACAGAGTTCCTGGGTGGCTAAAAATCAATCTCCTCTCTTTAGGGAGATGTATTGATCTATGAGGCCGAATCTGCCCCGCGTAACAGAAAATGGCAAACATGAAGGCTTTTTACCCCCCCAAAAAACGTCCAACAAGAGTAAATAATGAGGCTTGATAATATAGTCTGTTTTCCTGACAATGTGTTCATTTATTATTCATATATTTGCTGACATACATCTGAATCATTCTGTATCATTTATCATGAGCATTTTGAAGTTAATCGGGAGTTGCTCCATTTTCTGTATTTGTCAGAATGTTATAGAAT